GGCGGTACACAGGATGCCAAATCCCCTGAACATTGCCCGTTAAAGTACCTGTAAAAGAGAGAGAGTGAAGCAACATTGCGGCGAAGAGAAAGGGGAGAGAGATTGTCGACTAAAGGAGGAGAGTTAATAAGACGAAATGCCTTTGATTCCACCCTATCTAATAGTTGGACAGAAGAAGAGCCACCCCAGATATGAGAGCAGTACTCCAAGTTAGGACGAATGAATCCCTTATATACTTGGAGCAACTGCTCAGGAGTGAAGTAGCTGCGGCATCTGTACAGCATTCCCAACTTTCGGGAGGCAGCTTTAGTTATACTAAGGATGTGTGATTTCCAGGACATATTGGAGGAAATGGTGAGGCCTAACATATTTATTTCAGAATTTGGGAGGATGATAGCGTCCTGAAATGTAATTGGTGGGAGATCGTCTACTTTACAAAGTGTAATTGGTAAATATTGAGTTTTGTTACTATTGAACTTAACCAAGTTTGTATCTCCCCATTCAGAGATGCTGCACAGATCCGCGTTGATAGAAGTAATGATATCAGTTCTAGAAACAGATCTAGTTTGAGAGTTAGGAGGAAGGGGAAAATGTGAGGAAGAGTGAAGAGTAGAATCATCGGCGTAAGAATGGATAGAATTAGTTGTAGTGTGAAGTAAATCATTGATAAAAAGAAGAAAGAGAGTTGGTGAAAGAACAGAACCCTGTGGGACGCCACTATTGGTAGAGAAAGAGCGAGAAATCGATCCCTCGACAACAACTGCCATGGATCGATTCTCAAGGAAGCTAGAGATGAGAGAACAAAGTGGGGAAGAGAAACCAAAAGAGGGAAGTTTAGATAGCAAAGACTTGTGCCATACCCTGTCAAATGCTTTGGATGTACTGCGCACATCATTGTCATTCCTAAAAACCCGTTTTAATTCATATTACGCTACATAATATTCAAATCCACCGCGCTTGTAGAATCTCAGGAGAGACGTGTATTTCCCATCTGTTTTACCCTCAGGATCACTCTCAGTAAGTCCCGCCTTCGAACACAGTTGTCACTACGTTTATTGCACTCTCTACTGGCAAACGCAACCTTGAATTAGTCTGTTTAAATCAACTTTAGTAATTCGCCAGACCTTTGTCAACTGAGGGTCATCTTTGAATGAGTAACAGTTAGTTTGTTTGTGATTATTGTCATTGCGTGAGTAGCGATCACTGGCAACTCAGGGGTATATAAACTCAAGATGGCCAGGGAGCGCGTCCCCTGACGCTGCCCCGTTTGTCTCCAGGTCGAGGGTGGGCTTAATTGAAACCCACCGGTCGCTCGGAGCCGGTGGATACCCAGCAGTGGTCAATATAGGAGTGATGGCGCTGATTCGGCATGATTAATCGGCTCTACTCTACCTCGTGGGCCGAGGACCCCAAACCCACCTCGGGTCGGAGTGTAACCGACCACAACAGCAGTTGTTAGAGGCGCCAGTGCTATACCCTGGGACAGGCCTTGGAATTATGGTCCACAGTGTGGTTGTATGTGTTTTTACCAGTATGTTTTATAAGGAATAAATCAATTAAGACATGTTATGGTTTCATCCTTCTTTACCCTTATCGATCTGGTCAATGGAAAACCTAACCCAATGCCTAGTCCACTCTGCCCGCTACCTAACGAGCTACATGCTGTCCAGAGGGGGTCTGGTGGCAGCGACCCTTAGAAATTAAGATTAGAGTTAAGTTATCCCCTTAGACTTAGTGACCCCAGAATCTGGCAGTATATGGAGATGTCGAGGGCCACGACAAAAGTTTCCCCATAATCCCTAAGAGAGGATGACCAAAGATGGGTGCAATAGGAGAGCAGATCACCAGTAGATCTTGCCTGGCGAAAGCCATACTGGTGATCCGACAAAAGAGAAAGGCGTTCAAGGTGACGGAGAAAATGGGAGTTCAAGATAGTTTCGAAAATCTTAGAGAGGGATGAAGTTAGGGCAATGGGGCGATAGTTAGAGGGGTTAGAATGGTCACCCTTCTTCGGGATGGGCTGAACCAAGGCATGCTTCCAAGAAGAAGGAAAAGTTTTGAGGCAAAGGCGAAAGAGGCGAGCAAGCACAGGGGCCAGGGCTTCAGCAAACTCCCTCAGAACACGAGGGGGTATTCCGTCCGGTCCATGCGCCTTACTCACATCCAACCTGGATAACACACCGGCAACCCTGCGAGTGGAGATTATAGGAAAGTGCATAGGTTCAGTAGGAGGTGCAGGGGTAGGAAGGGTAGAGTGGGAATCGTCTAAGGTGGAATTAGAAGAGAATAAGGTGCCAAAGAGGTTGGCTTTCTCAGGGGGAGAGTTGGCTATAGAGTTATCGGGACGGAAGAGGGGAGGAAAAGAAGGCGTGCAGAAGTTGTTACGGATGTTTTTAGCTAAGGACCAGAAGGATTTACTAGAGGAAGAATTAGTCAGGATAGCAGTCTTTCTTTTAATAAAATTCCGCTTGGCCCTACGAAGAATAGCCTTACAACGATTCCTAGAAGTAATGAAAGAGGTGTGGGTAATGGGAGGAGATAGTTTCATAGCTCGATATGCCCTATCTCTCACCCTGCAAGCAAGAGAGCAGGAGCGATCAAACCATGATTGTAATGTGAAAGTTTTGGTAGAAGATGGGATAAATGCACTCATACCGCCCTGTATAACCCCAGCAATGCTGTCAGCACATACTGAGGCATCCCGAGTGGAAAAGCAACATTCATCCCAAGGAAAGTCGGTGAAGAATTCTCGCAAGGATTGTCAGCTTGCCCTCCGATAGTGCCATAGTTGACGTTTAGAGGGGGGTGGGGAAGGTGGTCATGCCCAGTTTGATTTAATAGAAATAAGGTTGTGATCAGAAGACCCTAAGGGAGCAAAAATTGAGTATGAATAGTGTGAGGGGTTAGAGGTAAAACAAATATCAAGAATGTTAGCAAGTTGATCGTGTCGATCAGGAACGCGTGTAGAGTGTTTGATTATTTGTTCCTATTCATTAATTAAGGAAAAAGAGAGTGCCTCAGCTCCACCTGGGTCATCCCTTGCAGAGCCAAGCCACTCTCTGTGATGCACATTGAAATCCCCTAGGTAGAGGATCTCGGTGTTAGGGTGTGTGGATAGCAACGACTCATGGCAAGAAGTGAGATAGTCAAAGAGTTCGAAATAGTTGGTAGAGTTGGGAGAACAGTATAGGAAACAAAGAAAAATAGTCACAGTAGGTAGAGATATTTTGAGCCAGATGACATCATAAAGGGGAGATTCAAGATCCGTGAGTCGGGCTATAGGTGTACGTGTATTGCAGTAGGCGCATACACCTCCCTTAGAACGAAAGTAGGTATAAAGGTTGTAGTTAGAGACTTGAAAAGGTTTGGGTGAAGCTGCTTTGGTTAGTTGAAGTTCAGAGAGTAGTAAGAGATCGGGGGAAGAGGTTAATAGATGGTGCTCCACAGAAGAAAAATTGGATCTCAGTCCGCGAATGTTGGAGAAATGAAGCGTGAAAAAAGCCGATCCTCCAGCAACCGTAGTGGCGTCAGTTGAGGCCCCAGTAGCTTGATGATGATCAGGTCTGCCCTGAGGTCCACAACCTTCCCGACCAGTGGGACCCATCCGAGAAGGCCCCGCTTCAGTATTAATATCAACTGACATAGGAGAATAAAATAGAATGAATAAAACAGATCAAGAATGAGTAAGGTTTTAGTTGTGGTGTTGTCAATAGTAAGAGAGACAGTTGAGACCCTGCAATTGTGTGTAAATGAGGCAGAAATATAGATCAGCAATCTGGGACTTGGTCACAATTTTCGTGATGCCATATAGCAGCAGGGTCTACCATTAGACAACACATTATGCTTCCAATATCTTCCCAGGTGGTAGTACCTCCCTGTTTGGTAGCTGCCTACTACCTACAATATGGATCATTAGTTTATCAGGTTAGTCGTCATTACGATCATGACATTATATAATCAGATTTTCACCATAATTTATGATCGTAGATAGGGAACAAATTACAAATATAAATAATTAAAATAAAAAAGTTGTATCGTTTTATTACTGTCATCTAAAGAACATCTATGAGAAAATTAACGTAGTCGAACAACTCCTTGGTGTTAGCCGTCTGCTCCACTATTACAAAAAATACTTAAGTATTTCAACAACACACAAAAAATGAAAAAAAGTGGGAAACTGGAGGTACGCGGTATGTTGAATAATAATAGTTTACAATTTACCTACTTACTCAAGATTACTCGGTAGTATAGGGGGTGAGTATCCCCGGCTGTCTCGCGTGAGACCAGGGTTCGATTCCACTACCGGGAGGTGATTTTAAACATACTTAATTTTAGGAGGCAAGAGACTCCAGTAGTAATTCGTTAAATGAGTAAATATGCTTCTTTTTACAGGTTAGCTGCAAAGCATGTTGTATTGATAATCACATTTAAACCGGTACCCTAACACATTGTTTTAAAGACTATTCTTAAAACAGAGTTTAGAGGTGTATTACGCATTTCATATAAAATCGCCTATAACGGTAAGTTTATAACAACGCCGAGCCTGCGGGCCAAATAGCAAGGAAATTGAGATTAGACAAGTATAAAGCTATCTTTTTAAGAAAACCACAGTAATACACTCCATGACTGAACGATACAAAGCAACAAATCAATATGTTCTATCATAATATCATGCAAATGATGCAAGTCGCGGATGGTATTTGAAAACAAAGCTGAAAAGGCCACTGAAAACTATAAATGTCCTTTTTCATGGGCCATTGTTTACCTATCTTCCTAATATCTGTATTTGGGCTTTCAAATTTTGAAATGCAAAAGTCGGTTTTTAGTTTAATTAATGTTCCTTATTACAGGACGGATATATATTTTTCTCTTTGGTAAAATATATGTAATATGTCACTGCATCTGTCCCTTGATAAAACTCAACTGTGTATTTGAATCCAGGACAATAATGGACATGTTCCAGATCCGGATCATTGTGTGAGTTGTGAGGACTGAGGTGTTGGTGAACGGCTTCAGGGATAAACAAACTGAGTTGTGAGGCTGAGGTGTAGGTGAACGGCTTCAGGGATAAACAAACTGGCTGGTGCCGCCGTCCTCCCGCCAACATCCTCCATATTACTTTCTGCTCTTCACTGGGTATTAATAGTAAAATCTCTATTAGTTAGCTGCAATTTACTGATCCACGAAGAAAGGCGTTATATAAAAAAATACAATTTAAAAGTAAGTATTATTTTTTACATAAGACGCGTTTCAGTTGAAATTAAACAGCATGTGAACTTCAAACACATTAAAACATCAAATATCCACAGTAGGTTTTTAAACAATGTGTACTTAACATAATGTATAACTTAAGGTGACTTAAGGTACCTGACTAAAGTAGAAATGAAGAAAACCTGATGTAAACCTGTAAAGTCGTCATATTTTACATAGAAGCTCATCAAGCAGTATGTGTGGCAGATGATGCTCTTGAAGTAACGGCCACAGTTGTGAATAAATTTTTGACAGGAGACATGGCTGTAGTTTATGACACATGATGATCATAAGTCATGGATGCCTGGGTTAAGTTAGCCAGGAAACCCTCTGAATACTTTTGATTAGAATTGCAGAAAGGGTATTGAACATAGCATCTCGTTCCTCTCTCCTATTTTCCCCACTAAATTTTGTTGGGAAGCACATGTACTGTATATGGGGGTACCTTATATCAAGTTAAGTTAGGGGTAAATATTCCGAAGTGGCCATGCACGGAAGTTACTAAAGAAAGTAGATTTTATAGTATATTTCATTGTATTTTGTACGAATTTGACCCTCATGTTGGAATAGTAGTTAATAGAGAAATACAACCCCCTCCCCCATTACCAAGAATATTTTAACACAAAATGGGCAGGGCTTTGAAGTAGAGGGAAATTGTGGGTAAAAACACAAAAAAAAAAAATTAAACGAAACTTCGAAAGCAGGACCTGACCTAATTCTGTAACTCAGTAAAAAGTTATCTTAATTGATAGATGCAGGAGGATAAAGTTATACCGTTTGAATGAGGAAGTGGTGCAGTATAGTATTTAGACACTGTAATTATGCTATCTCTTCCTCTTGGGTAGTGTCTGCCTTTAACTGCAATACCAAGCGTTCTAATCTTCACAATACAGTACAGTACTGACAGTCTGAATCACACCTTGGGCACTTAACCGAAGAAGGGAGAACACCTTAAGCCCTGTAGATGTCAACAACTGCAGCTTTATTCTCAAATACAGAAGCACCCTTCACAGAGAAATGCCATCTTACAACTATGCAATTCAAATTCCAGAACTTGTGCATGCTCACAAGTATCACATGACATCCAAACTTTGTCCTTTGTCCCTCGCGAGAGTTAATAATATGAGATTTGTCTGTATGATTGGCCATGGTGTATTAAAAACATAACATTGTTATTCCTATTAAGATCATATAGTATATAGTACAGTAGGCTCACTAGAACTAAATTAACTAAATTGAATTTCTTCAGTGTAAGTGCATATACCGATAATTTTCAATTGAAGCGTTGCATAAGACATTGACAAGCTACACTTTTTTAGAAATGAGAAATTGATTGTCAAAGTTTTTTCAACTTGGAAAAATGCATAACAACCCCAAATATTGTTGAATTTTAATGAACAAGGTTTATTCACTTGTCCTTAGGTATGTGATTCACTGTGTAGGGAAAACTTGTTTGTCCAATGGGCAAATGTACAGGTAATTTAGCCTTGCCAGTTGTAATTTTAAGCTGTCTCAAGCAAGCAGGCAGGTAGTATCACCCTTGTATTGGTTTTTAAACTAGCACTGATCAAATTTCTTACTGTCAGCAAGATTTTGAAAATACAGTACAGTACTGTATAAGACTGAGGCATGAAATCTCACCTTGCTATTGGGGGGGGGGGGGACAAGACCTGTTACCTGGCAAGATATACCATCACATCTCTTCAGTCATGAAATGAGACTTTGTGCCTCTCCTGCATTTATGGTCTATTGGTCCTCATGAGTAAGCCTGTAAGACTTAAACCAGCTCAACAAGATAAGTACAGTGTCAAATAAACCTTATTTGCTTCCTAGAGCCACACAGCCTTGGCAGGGGTTCCTAAGCATTTTCCAGTGCAACCCCATCTAGTGCTGTCATCTATCCAATGTGACCCCAAGTTGTGGGGAGTGCAGAGGCGGAGTTTCTGATGAAATCCACGTATATGATGGTAGATATTGTTAATGTCTTGTTTTCTTTTCTTTTTTTCTCAGAAAGGATAATATGCCACCAAAGAAAAAAGGGAAATGGTTTCCACGCCAGAAAAAAGTAATTCAAGAAAAAAAACAGGCAGAGCTCCGTGTCCAATTCCCAGTATCTAGTGGGTCCCAACATAGAAAAATAGGTATAAAGTCTTGGGTTCTAATATATATATATATATATATATATATATATATATATATATATATATATATATATATATATATATATATATATATATATATATATATATATATATATATATATATATATATATATATATACTGTATATATATATATATACAGGTATTATTTAATTATTTAGTGAATTATTTTAATTTCAGACTATGTAATCCTTAAGTGCAGGATTTTTTTTTTATGTTAGAAAAATGTGCTGTACAAATATAATTCCACGAGAAGTTTTCTAAAATATTTGAGAGAACATTTACAGAAACCCAGGCCCTTACTGCATGATGTCACAATTTCAATCCATCTCAGCTAACCCTCCATAAGTTCACATAACAGTCATTCTTTCAACTACTGTATAGTACTGTAGATAGTATCATTTGCAAGTACAGTACCGTACAGAGTATTGTTTAATTTCTTGTACTATGTTATTTTGCTAATAGTAAACCTAATGACAAATAAGATTACAAATGTATGTTAATTTTGCACACAATAAAACTAGACTAAATACAGTAAAAGTCCAAAAATCCGGATGCCAGAAATCCGGACCACCCGAGAATCCGGACTTTTCGAAAACTGAATTTTTTTTTTTTTTTTTAGCAGGCTTTTGTGTGTATGTGCGCATGCGTGAGCGCCACAGTTGCACAGCGACAACAAGCGACCACGTGGTCGCCACTTTAAAACGAGCAATCAAACTGTGACAACATACCGTTTATAGGTCGACCCTGATTTTTTGACCAAGAAATCGTTAATTTATGTTATTCCTCGTTTATAGTTTGACCCACGATTTTGAGGGTAATGGAACAACAAAACCTTCAGTAAAAACATCCTTATGTCCTATAAACTGAGGCTCGCCGTGCCTGAAACACCGAGTGCCGAAGGCAAATTGTTTACCATTTATTATTACGACACTTTACACTGAAACGCAGGTAGTTTCAACAAAAATATTGTATATTTCCATTCAAATATTTATTCAAGTCAATTTGGAGGGAATATTATTGCAATACAACAGTTTTTTAACTAAACCATTCGAAAAGCGATTACGGTAACATCTTTTGAACGAAAGAAAGCGAAAGTCATTGTTTTCGTCACGATTTTATCCCACTTTCCACTGTAATACGTACACCATTTCAGCAAAAATATTACATTTCCGTGAATGCAGTATATCAAGCACAGTATGAAAAGAATACCAGTGTAATATAACAATATTTTGAGTCTTACTCTTTCCATTTACAGAGTACTGTACAAGCCCATAATAATGGCTCCTAAAGTAGATAAACTTCGTTGTGTGAAGAGAAAGAAGAACTCGTTGAAATTGAGTGACAAACTTGAAATAATTAAGAAACTAGAACGTGGTGTGAGCAATACTGATCTAATGGAAACATACGACATTGGAAAGTCTACAATTTATGATATAAAAAAGGCAAAGAATAAAATTCTAGAACTCACAGCTTTTTCATTAAAACTGCTCGTTTTGGTAAATGAAGCATGCTATATTTGCTAATGAATAAACTATCAAAGTGTACCTGTTCATCTCTTCTTTATTCCTCCTTAAATTTGAATTTTAAAAGTACTGCCTGAGAATCCGGAAAATCCGAAAATCCGGACCGACCCAAGCCCCAAGCAGTCCGGATTTTTGGACTTCTACTGTATAATGATAAAAAATTACCACTAAAATTGTGACTAATACTGTAGTGATATCCCCATTAGCTCTTCTGAGAATGTGAAATTTCTGTGTATTAAGACGAATTTCTCATCCCTGAAAAAAAATCCCACGTTCCCGGAATTTTTCTGGTTAGTGGGTAAGTTTTCTGAGAGTCTAAGCATGATCTCGCACGGACAGACACTTGCACATCCCTGGAATGTTTCCAGGTGCTGTGGAAAGTTTTCCGAGAGTCTAAACTTAGCATCTTGCATGAACAGACACATGGCTGTATTTATTTACAAAAAAACCACAGTACAATATACTGTATTTTGAATAAAGAAAATGTGCTACTGTATTCACTATACCCAACAGCAGATGCTGCCCTCTCAGGCTTGTGATGCAGGCAGACCAAATGGTGATAAAATGATACAGGATGGCCTGTCTTTGTCCTGTACAGTACCACTGACTGTAGCAGGTGTTACTAACTGTCACTCTCCTCTCTCCATGAAGGAAGGATTGTACATGCACTGTATACTATACATACACCTCGACACACTAGCCTACAGTAGGCATACACTGTCCACACTGCTATGTACAGTACAGTATGTACATTATTTTCACACTTACTTTGCACATCTTAACACTATATTCTGACTGCTTGTGTCCTGGTACAGTAATGTACAGTACTGTACTGCACAACACAAATTATAAACAAAAACAGCAGTGAACAGTGGAACAACTTTGTACATTTGCAGCAAAATATGAACTAAGCACGTGAGCCTACAGCCTAAGTTACCCAAACAGGTATCCCACCCTTGCGCCCGGTACGTGGGAACGCGTTGGAGCATAATGCAATTTCTCGGAACTCGTGGAAAATTTATTCCCTTGCCCGAAACATAGAAGTTTGAAGAGATTTTCTCAGAATTTTTCTGAAAAATGTGCCTGATTTTCATCCTTGGAATCTCCTTCCTATGCCCAGATTGGAAAGAGTTTTCCTGGAATTTTTTTGGCTCAAAATCAATTCTGGATATTGGCGAATTTCGTGGAGCGAGGATTCCGGCTAATGTGAAGATTACTGTACTGTAGTAACCAAAATGGATACTGTAATTAGCAACTTTTCATTTGTACTAACCAGTAACATTTAATCTTGTATTCCACTTATTAATTCCTCATTGTAAGAAACACAGGTATGGAGCTCCTGTTTAAATACATATACAGTACTGTACTACAGTCAAAGGCAAAAATAACTTCACATGAACACACACACACACACACACGAGTTTCCAAAAACAGTACATTGTATTGAATCGGCATTGTTGCCCTGATGTGGCCCTTCAAGTGCAGATTTGAAAATGATGAATACAGGTATTGTACTATCATGAGAAAATTGTGATAAATGAGATTATATGACACTGTACATAAGTAGCACACCAAGTTAATAATAGGTATGGGATCAAGAAATTGAGACTCACAGTTTTTATTATTGACCAGATTAATTGCTTTAATAGGTTAACCAATGTCCAAATCTCCTAACATTGTCTCTTTCTGTAGTGTAATGAATAATATTGTATTTTTCATTAGAATATAGCAAGAATCACTTTAAAATTCTTTTTTCTTGGTGGGCATGTTGCTTATATCTCTTAAGCATCAGGTACAAGTATTATGTTGCTCAAGTTTAATACACTGTCTGATATTCAATATCCCTTAAAGTGTGCAATTAAGGTGAATGTACTGAGGGAGGTGACATCATAGGAAATCAGCTCATAACTTGCTTTCCAACTTATTCGTTGGTTGTGATCATAGAATTTCTTTTTCAGAGGATACTCCGGATACTAGTACTACACAAACACAGACCTGGCCACTGAAAGATCAGGTGCTAAGTAAACTTTCACGGCCCTGGAAAGGAAATAAATCACTCAGCAGTCGATCAACACTCACCTGGGGGAAGAAAACTCCACTATTAAACCGAGCAGCACTTACCGGGGAACAAAATAAACCTTTATTAAGTCGATCACAGAATCGGGGACAGAATGATGCTCCATCTAGTCGAGTAACACAAAGTTGGGAAGAGAAGACTTCTCTGTTAAGTCGAACACAAAATTGGGGATATAATAATAATGCACCAACAAGTCGACTGTCACAAAGTTGGGAAGAGAATAGTCCACTGTCAAGTCGACCAACACAGAACTGGGGGCAGAATAGTTATCCATCAAGTCGACCAACACAGAACTGGGAAGATAATGGTCAGCTGTCAAGTCGATCATCACAAAACTGGGAAGACAATGGTCCACTGTTAAGTCGATCCACTCTGGCCTGGGGAAGTCATCCACCATCAGGTCGAGGAACATATGCTTGGGAACAGTCTAGTTCAGCGACTGGTGAACCATCTTTGACCTGGGAACAGAATTATGTATCACCAAGTCGACAAACACAAAACTGGGCACAGAATAATTCATTGATAGGTTCACAGACACAAACCTGGGAACATAATCGTTTGCTGATAAGTCGACCACCACCAACTTGGGAAGAAAACAGTCTTCTGGCAAGTCAACCAGTGCAATCCTGGGTGCAGAATGATTCCCTAACAGACCAACCAACAGAAACCTGGGAAGAGAACAGTTTCCTGACAAATCGACCAATGCAAACCTGGGGGCAGGATAGTCTGTCAACAAATCAATCAATGCATGATTGGGAACAAGAAAGTCTAACGAGGCACTCACTGCCAACCTGGGAAGAGAGAAATTTGTTGACAACTAGACAGACCTGGACACAAAATAACCAGGCAGATCATATCACGAGTACAACAAGGATGTCCAGATCTTCTGATTCACTGAATTACCAAGATTGGAGAAATAAGGTAGGTAACCACTTTTTTCTGTTTTTTATTTTGGTACAGGAGTATATTTAAGAAGAATATGTAAACAGATAAAATTTCAAACTGCTCTAATGGCAGGTGTTTATTGTTAGCCCAGCAGGTATGACAACTACAGTACATGTAGTCATTTATGCATGATCAGAATTTTTCATGTAGTCTTTGGGCCCCTTTTATATACAGTAGTACCCCGATTTACGCGGTTAATTGAACCCACGGGGTACCGCGTAAAGTGAACAACAGAACATATGGGATTAATTCCAATAGAGATTGGCCCGACCCCCAAACTCCACTTTTTCCGACACAATACCTATGTTGTATTACAAATAACATCTTAATTTTATGATGGTATGCACACACAATTAATATTTAAGAGAAATACAGTCGTCAGGTTAATGTCCATTCAAATAATGGACTCAAATCTACCCTCCCCCTCCCTCTTCCCAGCTCACTAGCTCCTACCTCTCTGAGAAATGTTTGGGTGAAAACACTAGATTTTAACGTTTGGTAATAAATAATACCTCAGACTAAAGTTAGGATAATATAATTGACATTTCTGGATTCCTTGCAGGTCAGGGAATATTTTGAATGTAAACTTCATATATTTTGCACAAAAGATAAAATATTTGCTTTGTGTAAACCAAATTATTACATTAGATCTAAAATTTGTATGTCTAATGCAAAATCCATGATGTTTATATTCAAAATGATCATCATATTGTAAGAATTCCAACAATGTAAATTATATTTTGGCTGGGTAATTTGTATGAATTTTATGAGCTAAATAAAAAAAAATATATACTTCACCACGTATATGAGTAGATGCACTGCGGAAAGTGAAAGTCCGGTTCTGGCGAGGTACCGCGTAAATGAGAAATCGCGGAAAGTGAAACCGTGTAAAGCGGGGCAATACTGTATATATATATATATATATATATATATATATATATATATATATATATATATATATATATATATATATATATATATATATATATATATATATATATATATATATATATATATATATATATTGGAAAAATAAACCTTTTTATATGAAAATCCATTTTTATTTATATAATATGCTCTACATGACTACCATTCTGTTGAAAACAATCTTCAATGCGTGTCCTCCACTGCTGAAGAACACGTTCAAGCACAGCTGGAGTTATGCTTGTAATGGCGTTGGTGATACGTTGCTTGAGATGATTTATGTTTTGTATCTTTTCCTGATACACCATGGCCTTCAAATGCCCCCAAAGGTAAAAATCAAGTGGGGTAAGGTCTGGGGATCTGGGAGGCCACTCCACAGGATTTTCATATAAAAAGGTTTATTTTTCCTATGTATGGAAATTTATGGGACACCCTATATATATATATGCTGATAACCACAAGGTTATCAGCATATACCTGGATCACGTGCACCTACAGTGATTTACTTGCATATATATATATATATATATATATATATTGTATTATTTTATTATCAGTTCAGTAGTACTTGATACAGTGGCTGGCACATTTTGTGTTGTAGTAAAACTCCCAGAATGGCCCCTAAAGAACCTCACAATAGTATCCAGACTAAGGATGCTCGGTAACCATTCCATTGAGTTGCCAGGCGACTGTACTATATACTTGACCAGATTATTCTTAATATTGCACCAATACTTTACTACGATAACTTTGTCTATCTTTTTCTCTCATGAAATCTATAGGACTCACTTGGGAGACATGGCCTGCCATCATCAGACTTTGGTCCTTCTAAACACTTTGGAATGAGAATGTTGCAGAAAATGGGCTGGATCCCCGGTGAAGGTCTCGGTAAAAACAAGGAGGGAATGATTGAACCGCTAATGCCTGATGCCAATGTGGACCCAGAAGGTGAATTAATATTTTTTTCTTTATCCTCCCCTTTATGGGTGTCTTTGTAATTTGGGTCTGCTTTTCTGGAGAAATTTTATTAAATTCGGTGTACCAAGTGAATTGTTATTAAATTTGGCCAGGCATTATAAGGCTAGAGATAAGAAGACCTATAGAAATAGCTTTTAAAACATGTACTGCAAGTGTATATTCTAAATTGAAGATTCGTCAAAGAAGACTGGGGGTGTTTAAATGAGGAGATGTAATCATGATGGAAAAGTTGCAATTGAAGCTATGTTAATTGTCAGGAACTTTGATATCTTGGCTTTGAGTTTAACAGAATTGAAGGATATTGGAGAAATATGCTGTGGACAAGTGAGAGGAAAAAGTGAGGAGTGTCTGGAACAATAAAACCAAAAAAGGATCTGTGTTTTCTAATGAGTGATGAATGGTGGGGTTACATGAAGGAATACAGCATAAATGGATCATACAATACAATGGGTTAGTCCCAGAGTACTACTAGTCAGGTTCAGTGGGGTATGAGAAATAGGTTATGGTGGGTATGTTAGTACATAATTGGAGATTAGTGTGTGATGTGGATGGGATTGTGAGTAAATATAGAGTAAGAGTGAATGGAATCGACACTGATAGAAATGTGTGTTGAGAAAGATTTGAGTATACGATAGTAAGCACTGTATACCTGTACATTGAAGTGAGACTTGTACAGTAATGCCAAAAGCACAAGAAAACACTACCGGTAACTACAAAAACCACCGATTCTTGGAAAATCCATGAGGAACACCAGAGCATAATCAATAAGTGTTAGCAGCAGAAGATTGATGCAGGTAAATGTGTGAGCCATATGTTTATTCCCAAGTTTATGACTAGGGAGGGTCAGGGTTAAGAGAACTACTGTAGTTCACGGCTTATAATGGCGTACCTATCAAAACAATAGCTTTTAGAACATCTACTGAAACTGGGTCTGAGCATGCATAATAATCACAGTTTGTTTGGACTAGTCGCTGCTCATACACTGGTACTAATCTGAATGGACAGTGTACCTACCTTAGGAACACAGGTATCCCCTGATCAGGGAATGATCTGTCAGGATGGTCTCACAGGACATTTGGGATTTTGTACTGCAGTCCTTTGTTTCATGTTTTTACATTATTGTTGTCTATAACTGCCCATACAGGTACTTTCATTTTTATTCCAGCTACAATTATGGCCAGGTTTATTTATTTACCTTCTTATACTCTGTTTATTCCTAGACTGCATTGATATGAGTTATTCTGCCCGTTTAATTGTAGCTCAAATGTTTCAGGAAATTCCTGACTTAAAAAAGTCACATTTTAACTATGATTTTCAGGTGTTTATTGCCCTGGGGGATGGACACCACAACAAGGAAAACCTGTTCAAAGAAAACCAAGGAAACTTACTGCTAAAGATCTCTCAGGTGAGGTGTGGTGGATTTCTTGTTAAGTTCTTTGACAGTGCTGTGATGAATCAAGAGATGGATGATTCTCTGAGTAAAGAGTTTATTTTAAAAGTGTATGTGTTTCAGGAAAGCATCCGGTGTCGGGTCTGATTGAGTTGTGTACAAATCGTAACTGGACTGCACCAGTTTTTCAAGTTGTCTCTGACGTTGGCCCAGTTCACAAGAAGACCTTTATCATGAAGGTAAAACTTAACTCTTTAATATTGTCTTTTTTCTTGCATGTGACTGCAAGAGTAAGCTACAAGTATTATCTTTAATTAAGAGAGGTAGAGATAAACTTCTCATTTTTGGTAAAACATGATATGTGTACAGTATTGTATTTGGTTTTGGTGATAAGCAAAAAGGTCATAAATTGTCCTTTGACTTGTAACAGTATAGTATACAGCTGTGTATCATATACTGTACTGTACAGTATAATGACAAAATACATACTGTAGAATAAGTAAAATGAAGCTTGGTAGATTAACTGGATAAGAGCTATGAAAAATAAAATTCCATTAACATTGTTCGAAGGATGATGGCTAAGCTTTATGTTGACTTGTGTACTCCTTGAATAAATTTTTAATTTTGTGTACTCCTTGAATAAATTTTTAATTTCCAACCAACACCAAGGACTGTATAAATGCATTCTTTTTCGCCATACAATAGTGGCATTTACAACTTTAGTTTGACAAACATTCACAACAAATTTCCACTTCATCTGCTTTGTGTCAAGAGTCAGCATTGGTTCTTTCTCTCAGCACAGTTGTTGCATCTTCATACATTACAGTATAGTACTGTATCATTGTCTTCCATTGCCCCTCTTTCAAACCTTGTATTAAGTTGTTGTTATAACTCACAGCACCAGAGAAAATAGCAAACAGCCATAATGAAATAATCCCTGTATGTTTGTCAAACAAGTCATTTAAATTTCCATTACTTTTGACACATAAATAGGCTTATGAAAACCTTTAATTGTGTGTAATAGTTTTGGATATTATGTTTGATACCATTAGCTTTACGACCACTTTCCACTCTCATTTTTTTATCCTAGATTTTCTCTACTCCTTTTAATACGTCAAGCGAATTTTTCAAAATATATTTTTGTCGTAAAAGCCTACTACATGCAGTCACATATATATACATAATTTATTAATAAAATTATTTTTTATTAGTCAGTGTGCCATATTTGATTATATTCTTAATACGTTTTTTTTTCCCATAATCTATATACGTATATTAAAGATTACAACTTCTTCTATAAGATCCCTATTTTATGACCTGTGATATCCTGACTCCTAAATACCCTACCCTCCCTGTGCCCATTAGAGAGGTCATATAGTTTAATGGCAGGTACATTATCTAAGTTGACTAAAGAGCAAGATAAAGTTATGATATTAATTGCCTCTTCAACCAGTGGTTGTATTAGGGTCCCTTGTGTACTGGCTCCCCTGGTTAACTAGATATAGTATACATGTATAATGTCCACTTTGCAATGGACATCAAAACAAGAATGGACTGTCATATTTTGCTTATTACTATGGTATATTTTGTTCTGTTACCTCTAACTTGCTAAAGATTTACAGATTAATTAATGGAAAATATTCATAACTCAAGGGTTTCATGTGTTCTCTTGTGAGTATTCTAATGTATCCATTTTATATGAATTTCATAAGGTGATTGTGAATGGACGAGAATATACCTCAAAAGAAGAAGCGCCTTCTAAGAAACTGGCAAGATCAAAAGCTGCCACAATATGTCTTCAATCCCTTGGACTATTGCCTAAGAAGAAATCTTAGTGACTGTAATAGGTGAATGAAATTTTATATTTGTGTTTACTGTTGTATGTAAGACGGAACAAGGTTTTACATAGTTGATTATACTGTATATTGTAGTGGATAGAATGTGCACCCATGATTTGAACAAGAAGAGACTTATTCTGTGTTGAATGATGATTGCTAAAGGTGTACTGTATGGTGTTTATCACCCTGGAGTATAAGGTATCCTTCATTTTTGTTTTTCACTTTATAATACAGTACAGGAGGTATGTACATAATTTACTGTTAATTTCTACAAACTTCCCTTAAATTCATACTTTAGAGTGGGAGAATATGTTGCTTGTGTGAAGGAGGTACAGTACAGCATATAAAGTTTTTTTACAAGGTGTTTGGTGTTTTTATCCTGATGCACTTGTCCTACAATGCTGCGACTGTCCATCTCTGTTTTCAGTTACTACCTATGGTACAAAATAGTTTGGAAGAAATAGCTTATAAGCTTTACTTTAAAAACAATATACTGTACAATATGACTTATTTTATATATACAATACAGGTAGTCCTCATTTATTATGAATTCACACATTGTAGTCTTGATTTATCTCAGTTAAATTTTTATGACCAAAATATTCAATTATCAGTGTGTTTTTAATTTTTACGATGCTACTTTTTGTGATCTTTTTATTGTAGTGCAGTATTTCTTTTTATTCTCAAGTTTTTTTAGTTTGTAGTGCTAGTGAATTCTTTAAAGAACTGGCACTTTTGAAAAAAGACTATTATTATTATTATTAAAAAAAGAAAATACAAAATGCATGCAAGAATCCTCTACAATACACAGAGAGTAGCCAGACACATCTCACATAGCTCTGAAAGGGAAGACATACACACACCTCTCAGTAAGTCACTTGATCACCAAAATTTACATAGTAATTCTTTTATGGATTCTTACATTTATTACATGCTTATTGTTTTAATGTTGCAAGTGGTAAAATGGCTAGCTGTTGGTGGTGAGTGTCACTGGTACAGTAGTCGGTTGAACATGCCTCTCAATTTTATTACAATAAAACTCCATTAATTTGAAATAATAGGGGCTCTAGCCGTTTATGAATTATGAGGTTTTATGAAATGTGAGGGACACATCCCAAGGAAAAAACAAAAACAACAGTACATTTTTCGTTGTCTGCCCTAATAAAAATTTAAACATTTCTAGGTACAGTACCTCTTTACCAGATTTAGGCGCTTGATCTCTGGTTATCAGATATATAGTAAAATATTGTAATGGCTCAAACACTGGGCAATGATGGAAAAACAAGTTTGAAAAGCTTGCCCGGTGGACCGTAGAAGTTGTACACTCCATGACTTGCCAACCAGAACTGACCGTGATCGATACTCGTGACACATATAATACTTGTTTACACTGAGGCAGGTGGTCACAACCCCGTGTGACACATATAGTACTTGTTTACACTGTGGCGGATGGTCGGCAGTCGCATCCCATGGTGACTTGTGCATCATATATATTTATATATACTGTACAGTGGTCCCTCGATTAACGAATGGCTCAATTAACAAAATTTCAGTTAACGAATTAGCTCCCATATGGATTTTCAGTTCCATTAACAAACAAAACTTCATTTAACGAAAGCCTTACGAGAAACATGCTTTGTTGTGTGCATCAGCTGATCGGCTAGTCCGCCAATACAGTAATTGGTTCTATGTTTACATTTGTTTCCATTGGAGAAAATATCAAGACAGTTGTGCTCTTGAATATTTTTGCATTTTTTATATTAAAATTATTGGTCAGTCTGAAATTTAGTTAACATATTGAAAATATATACAGTATACAGGGAACAGTTTTTGTGTGCCCATCAGCTGGTTGATTCACCCACCAACGCTTCTCAGTTTAACTTTGTTTACAGTGGAGTGAACATCGAGTTTGTTGGTCTCTTGAATATTTTTGCATTTTTACAATAAAATTATTGGTCATTCTGAAATTCAGTTAACATATTGCACTCTGTAAAGATTATGGCATGTCATCATCGACTGCCTCTACAATCGGCTGTTTGGTACGTAAACAAAGCTGTCGGGAATACGACATACACACCTTAAAGCAAGTTAAAATATAGTATTCTATTGTTTTGCATTTATTATTGTACAGTACTGTATACTGTACAGTACATTACTGTATTTAGTTTATATTTAATGTTTTGTTAATTCTATTACCAATATACAGTAATTTGTATGTATACTTTTTCTGAGTTGGAACCAATTACCCAGTATCTCATTGAAATAATAGATTCAGTTAACAAAATGTTTTGGTTAACAACCGGCTCTGCGGAACCAATTGTGTTTGTTAATCGATGGACCACTGTACATACCTGTATTCGTAAATGTGTCTTATAATCATAAATTTTACCAAATATTAAAAAAATTTAAATATATATTTTGTAACGGCAAAACATTACAAATTATGAGTGATTTCAAAGTAAAGGGATACGAATTATGGGGGAGTTTACTGCACATATATTTGTCTTTTATTGATTTGTGTGTTTCTGTACAAATTCAGCCCAAGTATACCCAAAACTCATGGTTAGGAAAACATTCCCCTTCATACATTATTTCTTGTGGGAAAATTGGTTTTGCTTAGTGCAGGTTTGCGTATCACAAGGGTTTTCAAGAACAGAACCTTCACAAGAAAAAAAAAAAAAAAAAATATATATATATATATATATATATATATATATATATATATATATATATATATATATATACATATATACACACAGCTAGACCCCGACTTACGACGGGGTTAGGGACCCAAATCCAGGTCGTAAGTCCGACATAGATAAAAAAAAATTTTAAATAAAAAATCTACAATGAAATACAGTACAGTAAAAGTAATAAATAATGAGGAATGGATACAGTGTGACTGAGCACTTACCTTTAATGTAGTCAGCTGAATGCACATGGGGCCCCCATAATTTTCTAATTAAATTATACATGGAGACTACATTAACTGGAAAAGTTTAGGTATAGAAAATGCGTGTGTCATTTGAAGAAAGAAAAAAATGGTCACAACTGCGGCGGTCATAAGTCCAAGCAGTCGTAAGTCGGGGTCTAGCTGTATATACAGTGACCCCTCGGTTAACGAACTCAATCCGTTCCAGAAGGTCGTTCGTTAACCGAAAAGTTCGTTAACCGAAACCATTGTTTCAATGGGTTTTTGGGTAATTGGTTCCAGCTCACCGAAAATTTCCTAAATTCAACAAAAATGGTAGAAAAGTTCACTTACTTTGAGGTGTGTATGTAGAAGGCTCCTGGATGATGATGATGATGATGATGGGAATTACAATGGGGGTGGAGGAGAAGGAAGAAGAGAAGGCATTGGGGTGGAAGAGAAGTCACCCCATGGCACCATTTCACCCATAAAATTTTAGTTCTCTTGGTGTATTTCAAGATTATTTTCTTTAAATCAACACTGTACTGCATTATATATTGTCAATATGTAAAATATATTTCAAAATGACCAATAATTTGCTTGGAAACACAGAAAAAAGCGTTTAGTTGAAGAGAGTCTCAAGCAAGATGTTACCTCCAGTGAAAACAGAGAGACTAACGCCTGTTTGCTGTGTTAAGAGGCTGGATGCTGCGCTTTAAACTAGTCACTTTACCTTCAATTATGTTCAATAATTGTTAAAATGACTAAAAAATTGAATATTAAACTTTTAAAATTATTGAATAGTATAAACTTCTTGATATTTACTAAAATAGTTAGGAATTTAAGCCCTAGAACCGATTAATGTATTGGCGGACTGATACTAAAGCTGGTTGCCCGGCCAGTGCAAGCGAAAACATGTTGAGGTCGGTTCGTAAGAAATTCGTTAACCGAATTTTTGTTCGTTAACCGAATTGAAGATCCTTATGGAAGGCAGTTCGTTAACCGAAATTTCGTTAAACGAGGGTTTATATATATATATATATATATATATATATATATATATATATATATATATATATATATATATATATATATATATATATATATATATATATATATATATATATATATATATATATATATATATATATATATATATATATATATATATATATATATATACAGTATTACCCCGCTTTACGCGGTTTCACTTTACGCGATTTCTCATATACGCGGTGCCTCGCCAGAACTGAACTTTCACTTTACGCGGTTCATCTACCCATATACGTGCAGAGTGTCCGGCTCGACGCTATTTTTAGATTTGCCCCACCCGCCTGCTCCCGCCTCCTCCCTCCGCCTGGGCAAGCCGCGCGGTAAGGTTGCGCAGTGCATGTCTCTGTTGCGTTATCACTGACGTCATATGACGTATCGGACTGTGATTGGCCATGCATCCCTACCCCCCTCTGCTGCTAGCTGTAATTGGTTTAAAGTAATATGATGTGTCCACCCGGGGAGGGAGGGAGGGAGGAAAGACGATGCTTGACCTAGCCGCGGCAGTTTCATCCCTCAAGGCCACACCATGTATACGTGCATCCATTGTTCTGTGAAATGGCTTCCGCCGGACCACCGCCACCAGAGAGAAACCTTTCCTTACCTGGACCCAGCCGGCCTAAGCCAAAGAAGATACGCCGTTCCCTAAGCTACGAAGTGAAATACCAGATCGTTCAAGATTTGGAGAAAGGAACACGTCAAGCTGATCTCGCACGCCAGCATGGAGTGAACGAATCAACGATTCGTACTATTAAGAAGGATGCAGCCAAGATCAAAGAGCACATGACATTCACAAAGTCTGCAGGTGCTTCAATGATGAAGTATTCCCAGAACAAGGTGCTGCTAAAGGTGGAAAATTTGCTGGTGAGTTACTTGATTCGTCAGGCGCGACGCAACATGGCGGTGGACACGCGATCCGTTCAAGAGTGCACACGTGAACTGTACGCAGCAGTGTCACGTAAGATGGGAATTGCAGAGCCCAAACCCTTCAATGCTTCCTCTGGTTGGCTGCATAGGTTTAAGAAGAGGAACAAAATCACCAACATCA